ATTTGACTGTGTGGATCATTAATAAATTATGGCTAACACTGAGAACAATGGGAATCTCAGAACACTTAATAATGCTCCTGTAAAACATATACCTAGACTAAGAGTCTATTGTCAAACTGAGGAAGGGAACACTACATGGTTTATAATTATGAGAAGCGTGCATCAAGGATGTAGCATTTTTCCATACCAATTTAACCTGATGCTGAGCAAATCATTCAAGAAACTGGACTCTATGACAAAGAATGACATCAGAATTGGAGGAAGACTCAACAATAACCTTCAGTATCCAGATGACATAACCTTGCTTGCTGAAAGTAAGGAGGACTTGGGAAAAAAAATGCAGAAAGTCAAACACTACATTCTTAATATGGAATGCTTCTTAATGGAAAAAAAAACACAACCAAAAACAGAACAAACCAACAACAACAACAAAACCACCCAAAAACCCTGCCACTGGACCAATAGGCAACATAATGATAAATGGAAAACAGACTGAAACTGTCAACAATTTAATTTTAATTGGATCCACAATCAATACAGTTGGTAACAGCAGTCACAAGATCAGAAGATGTACTGCACTGGGAAAGCCTGAAGTCAGGGACTGTCCAAATTACTGAGGAGCAATGATATCAGTTTGAGGACTAAGGTGAACCTGATTCAGGCCATGGTCTTTTTGGTCACTTATCCATCTGAGAGCTGGAAAACAAATAAGGATGTCAGAAGAATAGATGCCTTTGAATTGTGGTGTTGGAGAGTACTGTAACCTATGGACTGCCAAAAAACCAAACAGGTATTTCTTGGAGAAAGTAGAACAAGAGTGCTCCTTTGGGCATGTTGCTAGGAGAAGTTATTCCTTGGAGAGGGACATCATGCTACAAAAGTGAAGGGGAAAAGAAAGACAAGAAGGCCCTCAACCAGATGGATTGACACAGTGACTGTAGCAATGGATTCCTGTGTCTCAAATATAGTGAGAATGGCACAGGACAGGCCAAAGTTCAGATCAGTCATTATAAGTCGTACTAAACACTACCTAACAATAAGAGGCATAAAAATTTAGAGACTTACCTTTCATACTTTTAAAGAATATAAGAAAATATTTTTGGAAGTTCCAGTGATTTTTCTATCAGAAATACATGCAGAAAATACCTGTTATCATAACTTTTAAAAGGCAAAACAAGAAAAACAAATACATATTGTTTATTATTTTCTAGTACATTGTAAAACTACAAGTTTTAATTTAGCTCTATTTTTAAGAGCAAGTTTCGAAAGATTTAATGATATCTTAAATAAAATTTTTTATGAACTTTTGTGTAATAAACAGAATATGCCTAAAATATTGTCATGAATATGAAAAGGTGGTTTTTTATTCAATCTTCACATTCTTTTATTGAAATATTTAATGATCCTTCTGGTACTCTTAGATCATTTAAATAATGTGATGAAGACTCTTTGCCAGATGTTAGACAGTAGGAAAAACGAATACAGTTTTCTTAAGAGAATTTTTTTATCATCTGATTTATTTCTATTTTATTAAAAGGGCAACCCATCTATCTATGGTCAACTGATTTTTGACAAGGAGATGAAATCAGTGAAGTGGGGAAACGACAGCCTTTTTAACAAATGGTGTTG